AAAACCTCCCTTTGAGCCAGTGGAAGTTTTGGGATTTCATTTCTGCTCGCCGAGGTGACGACTCGGCCGTCACGCAAAGCGTTCCGCTCGGTTTTTGGGGAGGAAATTTGTGCCATGCCTAGCATTTTATTGTAGTCAGGCTTTTGAGAGTCAGTCTGTGCCAGCTGATGTTCTGGGCAGACAGGCTTCTGTCTCTCCAAGCAGTTTGGGCTCCCACATAAAATGTTTGGCCAGAGGATGGAGTCGCCCGCGTGTGTGTTTGGGGAATGGTTGGGAAACACCTCGAGGGTCCCCTCAGGCTAGAGGTGACAGGCTATTTTACTGCTCAACAAGCGATTTGGGCTTTCTCTTTAGTTGTAGGGAGTGTCCTGAGGAAGGGTGACCATCGACTGGAAGACAAGAGGCTGTCCCAGTCCTACCCCCTGCAGGTGACCCCATACCGTGGAAAGGTGAGCTCCTGCATGAGTCACCCGCTTTACTCCCACGCTGTGTTAACCATTCCCTGACTCCTCCAACTCAAAATTCCAGGTCTTCAGCTCTGTCACATCTGTCCTCAGCATGGGTGTTTTCAAAGGCCAGTTTGTTTTGGAGGATCTGGTGGCAGAAATGAAGCAGCAGAGCAAGGGTTTAAGCTTCGGGCCGTTGCGCTCCAACGGGCGGATCACTGTCCAGGGCTCCTTTCCGGCAATCAGAGCACTCAGAGACTTTCTCCTCCTCAAAGCCAAATCCCTCTCAGAGAGGGACAAGAGAGAGGAAAGTAAATCCCATCAGAGGCCGAGGAGGAGGCTGCAGGAACGCAGGAGCAGCACGGAGATGAGGAATTCCGTTCCTGAGGGAGACGGGGGAAAACAAGTGGTTGTTCTTGACACGGATGTTTATCACTACATGAGGCACTTCTTTCCCTCCATATTCCAAGGAGATGGTGTCACAGTCTCTGCTGTCACTGATGGTGATATAACTACAGTGTGTGTTGAGAATGCTGGAAGGGCTGATGCTGGACAGGTATCGAGTGTCAAGAAGAAAATTGAAGATCAGTCCATAGAACTCCACAACAATTTACGGAAAATAAGGGTCCCCTTAAAGGGACGCACCAGAGACGAAAAGCAGAGGCACAAAGAGGCGTGTGAAAGGCTAAAATCCTGTTACCCTCAGGTTCTGGCCATTCCTTACGAGGCTCACATTGAGGTGATAGGATTTTCTTCAGACGTTTTTGAGGTGATAGGATTTTCTTCAGACATTTTCGAGGTCACCGAGGAAACGAGCAGCAAGAGTCGCACGGGGTAGAAAGGGAGGAGCGCTCAGATCTCTCTGCCCTCCCTGCTTCTCACACGGACTGTGGCACTGCAGATCTCCCACCGTGTGGGCTGAGAGGGGGGAAACTCTGCACAGGAGGGTGAGCAGGCCCTCCAGGGCACTGGGAGGCCTTCACAGTAGAAAACAGGCATTTTGTTTCCGTAGGAGCAGTAACGTTTCTCTCCCAGCTGTAGTGGCTTCTGCAGCATCTCCTGACAACACCTTATTCAGATGTGAATGTCCAAAGGTTTGATGTGAAAATCTGGGGGCATTTGGGCTGTTTAGGCAAATCTGTTCCTATATCCACTGCAAGGGCCCAAAGGCTTTTTTTTTTTTTTTTTTTTTTAAACTGGTTTAGAAAATAGCTCTTATTTTGTGGCATCAGCGTGTCCAGAATCTTTAGTCAAATCATCCAGAGCGCTGATGTCTGAGAAGCAGAAAAGTTTCAGGGGTTTTATGCCATTAAAGAAGTTACTTGTACAAAACACCGTGTCCGTGTTCTTTTAACCAAATCCCAGATTTTTGGTTGGAAGCCCAAACCTGAAGCCCCAGAACTGCTTTAGGCATTTTCTCCTCACGACTGATTATCCGTTGCAATTACGCCAGTGGAAGATAAAGTTGTTAAACCAGTGTATTAAAAATTATGTCGAAGCAGGAAGATGATGAGCTTAAGTGCTTTGCTGAATGGGAAGTGGGGGGGGGGGGGGGAGAAGCATTTAAGGATTTAATCCCTTCCAAGTTCCCCTGTGGACTGTGTGGGTTCTGCAGGGGGACTGGAGCTGGGGTGGAAGGTGGATGCTTAGTCAGGCCCTGGAGGATCCATGGGAGGTGTTTTGGGGTCCTCCCCACAAGAGCTCAAGCAGAGATGGGACGCTTTTCAACCTTGTCAAAGAGAAAATCCTCGATGGAGGATAATCCTTTAATAAATCAGTGCTCTTTTCCAGTGTCCAGATTGTCTCTTTTCCAAAGAGCCTCTTTTTGTCTGACTCAGAGCGTCGGTATTTCCTTTCTGCCTCAGTAAACGCTCAGGGCTCCATCTATAAACTGGTGGCACTGGTGTTGGGTTGAATCCCAGCTGGTTGCTGCCCCACCTTTGGCTCCCAGGCCGTGTGCTGTGCCCTTTGCTGAGAGGGCATTATATTATATTGTATATATTATCATATATTACATTATTGTATATAATTCACCTTGTACAAATAAAAAGCTTAGTTTTCATTTAAGGCACCGAAAAAGCCTAAAAAAAAAAAAAAATTAATAAAAGGGCAGCAGAATGTGAGCCCAGTTCCCTGTCAGTGGGTTAAACACCTTGGAAACCTGAGGATTTGAGAGACAACCCTTAACAGGGAAATATCAGACAATTTAGGCAATACTAGACCATCAGGAGGCAAAAGCAAGGTCCGTGTTGAGCGGAGGGGATGGGGGAGGTGGATGGAGCAGGAATGATCGACGGGAATTCTTGACCATCCCTGCCACAAAGGGCTGCTCTGGGCAGGGCAGGGAGATTCCAAACCCAGAGGGACATTTTCTGGAGGGAAGAAACACTTGCTGCTTTTGGGAGCCACTTATTTTAACCACCACCACCTGCCCACCCCAACAATGTGTAAGAAAAATAAATGGGGTTAGTAATAAATAACTTATTTTTTAAGACAACTGTCACACGTCTTCATCCAGCCACACTGGAGACTCAGAAGCATCAAAGCCATCGGAAAATGGACAATAATTCTCAGCTGAGGGTGAGCTCAGGGTGGTGGGTGAGCCAGGACCTGCAGCCCCCAGGGGTCGGATGGGGACAGGATCCCACCAGGAGAGGAGATGGATTTAACAGGCTCTCTCTTGGCTCCAGTTTGGCTCTCAGGAGGCTCCCCAAACACACACACACACATTCCTGTGTTGCTGCACATCTTGTGCAAGGGAAAAGCAGCTGCAGAGCAGGGCCAGGGAAGGCTGGGAGATGCCTTCTCCATTGCACAACCTTCGGGGTGGCTCCTTCCCTCGCGTGGAGCGTGGCTGGTGTTTACAGGACACAGGGATTCCATCCCATTTCATTCCAAAGAACTCTGCCCTTGTCCTCGGGGCTTCTGCCCTTCAATCTGCCGCAGTTATGGATGGAAGGACCTTTTCCATCCCTCTTTTTTAAACGAAGAGGAATCCCATGTAGATACTTTGCTGTGTTCACCTCCAACTAGAGGAGTCTTCCCTGATTTCTGCAGCAGCTGCCTGAAGATAACCAGACAGCTTGGCTGAGAGAATAAAAAATAATTCATCATTAATTTTAATCATGCTTTAAAACCAGACCAGAAAACTCGAGTGAAACTGCACACGGCTCAGAACCGACAGCGCCTGGTCTGGTTGTATTTATTTTTTCCTTGGAGTTGTAGAACATCTGCTGGAAAACAAGTCCCTTTTTCTGCTCTGCCTAACACAGCTTTCCTTTGTCTCCTGACACCCGTTAACGACCTTTAAAGAAATCTCCGAAAAGTAATTCTTTTAAGGAGAGACACCACCCCTAACGGCAGCAGCTGCTGGTGCTGGGGTGTCACACTAAAACCAGGTTTAGGGTGGATTTTCCTTGTCCTTACTGCTCCCACTTTTGTCAGAGGAGCAGTGTGGATCAGCACCTGCTACACAGAGCACCAAAGTTAAGGAAAAAAAAAAAAAAAAAAACAGGATAAAATACTGGAGAAACAAAAGTTCTGTTGTGTTTGTCAAGATGAACAGTTTGATATCCCTAAAATTCCTGCCCCGGTGGAGAAAGGACACCAGGCCGAGGGTGTTCCAGATGGCAGTGCCGTTGTTGGGGTTGGATCACCCAGAAAAAAAGTGGATTTTTTTTCCAGAGCAGAAGCTTTGGCTGACAGTCACGACCCTGCACACGGAGCCGCACATCCCATTCCCTGCCCGTGCCCCGGGAATGTTTCCCGGCAAGCCCAAGGGGGCACCAGATTATGGAGCTGGTCCAGATCGGGTCAGGCCCTGACCAACAGCTGCTGAAGGATCCGATTCCCGGGCAGGACACGAGCAGATGGATTTGCCCCGTCAGACTTTCCCTGCCGTAAGCACTGGGATCACAAGGGGGAGCCAGATGCTTTGGAGCCGAAATCCCAAGTTTTTCCCGCTGGGGTCCTGCCGAAGGAGGAGATGCCAGGAGCTCGTCCGGCTCTGTCCCTTTGCTGGTGGTCGCGTTTTCCCGGAGGAGATGTCGGGAGCGGGTCCTTCCCGTCTTTCCTCGCTCGCGATGCTCTTCCCATCACCTCCTTTCGAGACTTGTCTTTAAAAACGGGCGGGGATATCGAGCTCCTACTGATTTTGGAAGACAGACCCCACCAGCTCCCTGCCACCACTGCGCTGAGGAATTTAACCCTTCCTGCACGTCAGGATAACCCATCCCATCTCCCCTTGCTGTGGCTGGGACTGGAGTCGGTGGGCACTGCTGGCGCCATGGAAACACAGGTCTGATTTCCAGTCAAAACACCCTGAATAAAAAAAAAAACCCCAAACTAAAATCTTCACTTCCATTTCCCATGGATTCTGACAATTTTTTCCCAGCACTCTAATAAACACCACCGCGAGCTCTTTACCCCCCTCTGCGTTCTGCGAGCGTTCCCCCCACGGCTTAAGGGGCTCGGCATTTCTCTGGGGCATATTTTACATTTCCCAAACTTTCCCAATAACGCGCCGAGAGACTCGAGCATCTGCACCGCCAAAGCAAATGAGGGAAGAAACCATTTTTGCCGGCTCATTAACGCCTGGCACTGACAGGCCTTGGAGGGGCTGCGGTCCCATTTCCACAGGGCACACACAGCCCTCGAGGGGGAGAGCGTTTGATTTACACAGAGATAAAGTTCCTTCAGGGGTGGGGGATGCAAAAAGGGGCAGGAGCCGGGAGCACAGCCTTACGATAGATACGGTTTAACCCGGACTTCCAAAACCACGCTTAAAAAAAACACAGCCACGAGTGCCGGTTTGGGCAGCAGCTGGAGCGTTTTCCCCACACGTGGAGCTGTCGGAGCTCGGCTCCATCAGCGCCCTGAGAGCAACCGGCGCTGAATCAGCTGCGAGGGAAAGAAGCAGAGAACGCAGAGGTGGAAAGATTAAGAAAACCCGCAGAATTCCAGCGTTTGAAAGCTCCTGAAGCCGAACCAGAATAACTGCGTTTATCTGGCCGTTGGCTCGATGCCGTTTGAGGAGCTGCTCCCCGACCCACCCACCTCCATCCTCAGCACCCCGATCATCCTCGCAGCCTCCCCCGGAGCTGCTGCTGAATTGGATCCAGCTGCTTGGCTCTCTTCCCACCCCGCTCTGCATTCCTATGAAACGCACGCCCCGGCTCTCCCGGGTTGGGATGTTGTAGGAACGGCTCCAGCTTTCACACCCCCTCCCTTTCCTGGGCTGGAGCTGGTTGGGCACCAGACGTTCACAGTGGTGAACTCGGTGAGCGATTACATCGGCCTCAGAAGGTATTTAAAGTCTCGCCGATTTGGGGCTCGTTAAATTTTTAGCTTTTTTTTTTTAGCTTTTTTTTTTTTTTTATTTTATTTCTTTTTTGGTGTTAAGTTCTCAGTTTTTTTTAATGCGAGTAACCTTGAAGAGCTTCCAGACTCGCAGAGCTGCCACGGGAATCACGTGTTGAATACCTAATCAAACGAGAGATCCTCAAGAGTTAGATTTGATTTCGAATCGGGAAGTTTGGGTTGGGGGGGGAGCT